TTAATAGAAAAGGTGCCGAAAGCTTAAAACAATAACTGCTCAAATAAAATGATAACTCTATATAATTAACTTTCATTTTAATCAGATCTGTTGCAATGGGACGTTACATTATTATTTATTGTGTTTCTATTTTGTTACATTATTAATAATTGTTCTAACTACTAGTTTTTAAATTTTTTATTTTTAAATAAATAAATATTATTTAAAGCCTAAAGAAATAACATTTTTGTTTATTCTCATAATGAGTTACATGATTTAATTAGCAAATGTGCAGGTAAAAAATAATTATTTTTCTTAAGAGTATTGTGAAGCTACTATTCTTTAATTGTATTAATAAATTGTCTTTTTAATAATAAATTATTATTTCGAAACTTACCTTGCCAATAATTCTCAATCGCCATGAAAGATTGACACAGAAGAACTGTTTAAAAACCCATTTTGTGTGAATCATTCAGCCTTCGCTCCTGACCATATACATATCCAATTTCGTGTCAACCTAACTTTCGAATGAGTGCGACAGTATAACAAAAACATGTCACAGATTAAAATGAAATTTTTGGCCAAAGTTCTTATGATTTAATAGTGATTCCTTAAAAATAGTGATAATTTGTGAAATATAAAATACAGATTAAATTTTGTAGTAATAATCTGCCATACATTGATATGAAAAATACAAATGAAATTAGATAAAAGTTTGAGAAGTGATTCGTATGATTGACAAAGCAATAAATAAATTGTATAATAGATTAAAGCAAACGTATAAGATTTAATAAGAAAAGTGCTTTTATTTGTAAGAAAGTTCATAAGGATTGGAAACGGACATTTCAAAGTGAATATATTTGCCCACAAACTTTGTGAGACGTTGATACGCGCGCGCACAAACGTTTTTATCCAACCGAAAATTAACCTTGTAAATTGCATAAAGATTTTTACTTCGAATATCATTCTTTCCTTCTTGATTGAAATCGTCTTGATTTAACGAAAATGAAAATTTTTCCCGTTTATTTGATTCTTGGTTTATCTTTGAAATATTTTTAAAGCGTTGTTAAAGAAAAAAAATACGTTGTATGATATTTTGAGTGTAAATTTTTTAATTTTCGATCCATTCTTAAATTGGCAACGTCCGGAAACATTCTAGACGTACCACATTTGGAGAGTCGAATACAAAGATATCATAACTTCGTTCACCAAATGGTTGTTTACCGATGAACAATTTCATATATAACCATTCCAAACCTATAATATATGCGACGTTAGTGTGGCACCTATGTATTCATATAGGGAAGTATTCCACAAATTTCTTGGTTAGATTTTTTATATTTGTTGAAATGCTAAGTCCAAAATCAGCGATTTGAGGAATAATAAAATACCTTCACCATATATTCACGACATAATTTCTATATGGTGACTATTTCGAGTTCATCTGTGTGTGTTCTTTTGAATAAAGTTCAATTTTCTGATCTTGGTATTTTCAAACTCAATCTACTATTACTTTCGATATTAAATTCATTATATTCCATTTTTATTTATGCCTTTGGTTAACGTTCGTATGATACAACCACTATAATTATGATTAAATCTAATTATATTTCTGTAAATAAAAAATCAATTACAGTGTGTCCACATGATACTGTATATAAAATCCATTGCTAATATAAGTAGCAGTATTTTGAAACAGATAGGCTATTTTTAAAGTATGATTTTGAAATAACGCCCATGCTATTTATTTTGCGAGTATATGGCAATATCCTTTAAATCTCTTGAAATAGTCATTTGTGATACCCGAGTCCTTTTTGGCTTAATTTTTAGCCAAGATTCCTGTTGAAAATTGAGGAAAAATTATCGGTAATTTTTTGGTTAACCATTGTCCTATCTGGCATTATATATTTCATAATTTCATAACTATAATAGGACTGAAACAAAAAAATTCGTAAAAATGTCAGAAAATAAAGACAACTTTCACATTAGAAATTTTTATAAACTCTGAAGTAATTTGCTTTGAAATGTGTAATGATTTCGACACAACTCTTATTTCTGTCTTTTATTTTCTTCATAATCCCAATCCATAAATTATCCCAAAATCTCCTGTTGCAAGATGATTCAACGTTGACAAATCTTTCAAAACAAATCCATTTGAATAATTTGCATTCTTTTATTATTGCTGATATCTTTATCCCACTAGTTAATTCATCGTTTGTCATAATTGAAACAGTTGTCAATTATTATTCAATAATTTGATTTTTTTACTTAATTATAACGATAAATTCATCGATTACAATCATGAGTATAGTTACTGTGTAACTAAACACTGTTCCAAGATTTACTACAATCATGAGTATTCACTTTATAAAACGTGTGTGTTTATATCGATATACAGTTACGTATGTAGTGGTTAATGATAAAAAATTTATTCGAATGCTTATATGTATTAAGAAACGATGAATTACATAAAAGAAAGCTGAATTTTATTTCTCTTGATCAGTTTTACCGAACAAAATTTCAAATTTCTTGGATTTGGGTTCTGGAATTTTCATTACGTCCGATTAGGGAACTGTATATGCATGGGGCGAGTGTTGTTAGTATGTACTACCTTCCCCAATAAGAAAGGTAAAATTTCCCGAGATTTCAAAAAAATTTTCCATGAACTCGCGGTATACATGTATCCATTTTTTGCATCACTAAAACGATTTTTTTTGTTCGTCTCTATTTTATTATAATTTGGGCTATGAACATTGTAGGAAATTCAACTTTTTCTTTTGATCTTTGTGAACATAAAATGTTCACATGAAAATAGTATATATGAACATTTTTACTCTAAATATTTTTTAATTCTAATTACAAGCAATACTTTATCACTCGATAAATTAATATCAAAAGTTGTATAGGGAAAGTGCGGCAAGATAATAAATAAACCAATTTGGAATTGGTATGTGAATTACGAACGCACAGTATATAATCATAATGTATGAAACTGCGAAATAACGAGCAAGGGCGTTACTCCGAAAATCAGATCTTCTAAAAATAGCATACGTAGTCTCGAAATAGCGCCTATGGCCTATCAGTGTATGACACGTAATTTTCTGATCAAATACATATAGAATTATTAATAAAAAAATCTTTGATTTCTTTTAAGAATTTATGTTTATTGTGAACATGACTTTTCCAACGCTGACTATATCCCAAAAGGGTAACATTCATGTAGTTACTATTATCATTTTTGCCTTACCGATATTCGTAGTTTTCTTGTTATTCAAAGTCTCACAAAGCTAAACTTGCCAAGAGTAAAAATTTTCTTTATCATTAGGGAACATAAACAATAAAGCGACGCTTACTTTCTAAAGTTTGACGGTTCGGAAAAAATGTGCCAATCCTCACCATGTATGTGAATGCCAAGAGAATGTGCATTACATGTATTACTTTAACCCATGAACTAACCAACATTTTCAATTCTCATGAAAAAACTCTGTTATGACACTAGTGTGTGAGAGAAGAAATCATAATTTTGGAATTCGCAGTTTCCCGGCTGATCTTGTTAGGATAATAAATAATCAGAATACCGTTAGAATACTGTATACTCGCCCATCTGCGCGTTATTTTCGAATAATGAATTGGGCGTTCATTTCCATATGGGGTAAATATACACATGTATGCTACCGTATTTGCAACGAAACTAGCCACAAATTTAATTGAGATTATTTAAATCTAATTATAGAAATAAATAAATTACATTTAACACCTGACAAAAATTTTAAAGTAAATAAAAATTAAAATTTTTAAGAAACTACTGTTTGACTGGGGTTTTTATAATTTTGTTTTAAAAACAACGGTGCGGTTATTAATAGCCGAAATAGCCGCACGGATAATAACTTGACCTTTTGCAGCGTAATGATTATTTTCGCGAATGACGTTCGTCATGCGAAACCTGTGATGATTCACTAAATGGGGATTTTTTACCGCAAACTACATAAGAAGAACTGTTGTTTTCGTTCTTCAAATAAAATAAACTTCCTCTGATTGGTGTGGGAAAAATTAGATTTTTTATTTAGTCTAAAATATAAATTATATTCTTTTACAGTTATCGCTATTTTAAAAAATCTAAAAGAAATTTTTGCCAAATGATTTGGCATTTTAATCTGCGACATTTACTTCCGTTAAATGTGTTCATGTATATTGATTTAACATAAATTCATTCGCCACTGACATTTTCTTAACGAAAGGTTCATCAAATATAACATATCAAGTGGTTCCAACTGAGAAACGATACTTTGACGAAACCTTTCGTCATTCATCAAGTATCATTAATTACAGCGTTTACACATGACATAAATCCACTGTTATATGGATGCGCGTTGTTTCGGGACGCACATGGCCGCCATGTCCGTTATTTCGCGAGTATACGGTAAATTAAATTGCCGCATAAAATAATTGTCCTTGCAGCGGAGTTCTTGGCATAACGGGATGGCTTTAAAAGGTAACGTTTCGCCGATCTTAAAGACATACTACTCCTTCTTGGATGACGCTCTTTTGAAGCTAACTGAAAAAGTGCAGGAAAAGATTATTTTGTCATTTTTCAGCTGGAATGAAAAAATTTACAATATTATTTCTTTTAGTAGATTCGAGGGGTCCCGAAGGACACAATTAGCCAATAAGATTGGCACTGTTCTACCTGCAAGATGAGTTTAACCTTATTTAGAAGATTTTGGAAAATATACATAAAGAAGCAAAGGTATCGACAGCGCTCCAATCTCTCCTTTTTTTATCGCGCTGCCAAAAGGATTTTTCACTAGTCATTGACTTTCTCAAACACTGAGGCGTTTTTTCATAAGAAAATTTCTTGTTAGAGTTATCAGTCGTGTTAATTAAAGTGTTTAAAGCTCACTCTGCCTTTGAAAGTATTCAGGATCTTATTGACTCCCCGTCGGAATATAACCCTTCGAACCCTTGATTTTATAAAAACTTCGCAACAAGTCCGTTGACATTATATCTCGGCAAAAGCATCCATGTCTCACAAACCTCTCGGGCCTTTCCCTACTCCCACAAGCTATCAGCCAATTGTTCAAAGGCTGATGGACATGATTCAACGCAATAACTGGAAGGACGATTTTGAGCAAGCTGTCGTTGACGCTCACAAGACAGGTGTCGAAGATATGGTCCATATAAGAAACTTGACCGAATATTACAATTTTCTTAATTACTTTGTGTTATGGGTCCCCAAAGAGGATGAAACAGGAACTTACGTTTACAATATGCTTTGCACGTTATACTTTGTCCTTGATCAGAAAACTGTAAAACAGTATCAGTCACCCATTAAGCCTTCGTCGTACCCATCACCGCTGTTGACGGAGCTATCCAAATGGATAGTTGATTTCGCCAAAGCTATGGGAGAATTTCTCAATACGCCTCAATCACTTACCGAGGAATCTTTGCAGACTTTTTATACCGCGCAGAACTACGACGTGGACGCCTACGAGGTTCCCCCAGGAGGCTGGATAGGGCATTCTTTCAACGAATTCTTCGCGCGAAAATTCTTGCCAGGAACCCGACCCATCGACAGACCTTCCAATCCAGCGATTATTGTGAGTCCCGCAGACTCGACCTTCGATGGCTCTTGGGATATCAATTCTGATTCAATTCTCACTTTAAAAGGCATCCCCTGGCACATTAGCGAGTTACTTGCAAACAGTCAGTACGCAAATGACTTTGCCGGCGGGAAATTTACTCACGCATATCTCTCACCATACGACTATCATCGTCTGCATGCTCCTGTCGATGGCAAAGTGCTCGAAGCCAAAGTTATTCCAGGCCAGGTCTATCTCGAAGTTTGTTTTCAAGAAGACCATAGCGGCAAAACGAGGCTCAATCCTAATCGAAAATGGGACAGCGACGTCAAATCACTCAGTTCGCCGGACTCTCCCGGATATCAATTCCGCCAGACTCGCGGTCTGATTTTAATCGATTCGCCAAAAGTTGGAAAAGTTGCTGTTTTACCAGTCGGTATGGGTCAGGTGTCTTCCGTGGTCCTCTCCACTCAGGCAGGGGCTGAATTGAAGAAAGGGGACGAGATATCTTATTTTCAGTTTGGTGGATCTGACATTGTCCTCGTGTTCCAAGCGCAGAGCCAGGTTGAAATACTTGCTAACATAGAAAAACATTATAGAGTGGGCCAACAGATTGCACTCGCTCATATTCCTGAATCATGAATATTTATTTAACAAGTCAATTTTTTTAAAGTCCATTAATGCCGGCCAAAAATCCGAGTTTTTTACGTATTAATTTTTCGAAAAGGTTATCCAAATACATGTATTTCCGAGCCCTGAAATCCGTATGGTTTATAACGTGATTTACATGATAATTGATGTGGGTTTACAAACAATTCCATGATAACGATAATTAAAAAGTAACAATAATTAAATTTTAAATAATATCAAAATTGTAAATTGAAAAATAAAAACGACTTCCCCAGAATTTCTTTTAATAAATATTTCAATTTTAAAAAATAATAGTAAATTATATTGCAAGAGATGCAAACATATAGTCGATATAGTAAATTTATTTAGATGACTTTGAAAATCCAAAAATCATAAAAATAAAAAAAATTATTTAATCAAGAAACTACTACACTTACTTTTTCGGAAAAGTATAAAATCAATGTGCATTAACTATGGTCGACCTGTCTTATAATAGTGAAAATGGTAAAAATGCAAAATATTAATTATTTAGCCATATACTAAGATATTCAGATCTAACTTTATTAAAAAGTCATAATCTTTTCAGTAATTTTTATTTTTAAGCTCAGCTATAATATTTATATTTTAATAAATAGATTTTAATTTCTCTTTTAATATAATTTGAAACTTGATTTTCAGAAAAAAATATATAAATTCAAAAATTAAAATTAAAATTAAAAATATAAAATAAAAATAAATTTAAAAAGATAAATTATTTTCAGAAGATTTTATAATTTTAAATATTTTTCTTGATTTTATAAATTTTTATAATTTTTTAATAGTGATTACACTAATTAATTCATTTAAAATTATATATTTTAATTGATTAGCTAAAAATCTAAAGTTAAATATAGTAATTAAATATAGTAATATATATAAGAAATAAAAAAATAAATTTATAAAATTATAAATTGATAAATAAAATTAATTATAATAATTTTAAAGTTAATTAATTTTACAGATTGTCAAATCATAATAATTATATTATATATTATATCACAAATTAAGAACTGCATCATTTTATCTCTTTTTAGTTAAGTATTATATAATATAAATAGATTATTAATTTATTTTTTTTAGTTAAATCTTCTTTTAATTCTTATTTATTATATTTAATATTTTTCTTTTCTCTTATTTATTTTCATATTTATATTATAATAAATATTTTTCAGAAATATTATCAAATAAGTTATATCACAAGAGAAATAGCAAGAACTCACAAAATTAGTTCTTTTACTATCTTATATATTAATAAAAAATAGTATAAATAACATATTTAAATAATATAAGTAAGTCTGATTATCCATAATTATTAAATAGCTAATTAAAAAGACTAATAGTTCATTTTATTATATCTCATAACTATTTCACTGTTACTATTCAAAATTGTTTTTGTGAAATAAAAATATTAAAATTTTAGAGCATATTGTTCATTATATATTAAAAAAGAATAATTTAATAATAAGAATAAAATAAAAAAAATTATATTTAAAGTTCAAATACCAATAATATTATCTTAAGTTTATCAAAAAATATAAAAACTAGATCTATAAAAATTAATTAAAAGATAATCTAGTCTGATAAATCTAATTTTAGATTTTTGAATCTGATAGAAAATAGTATTATTGAAAAAGAATAGACAAGTTATTAAAAAGTTATTATATTAAATCTATAGTAAATTTGATGATAGAAAAGTAATTATATGAAATTATTTCATCTTTTGCAGTATTAATAACTTTTGTAAAATTAATAAGAATATGAATAGAATATTATATTAACAAATTCTTTGAAAAAGATCTTATAAATATTATTAAAAAATATGAGTTAGCTATCAATAAGATCATTTTCTAGCAGAATAATAATTTTAAATATATAGTTAATTTGATAAAAGAGTGATTTGATAATAATTATATTACTATTTTAGATTAACTAACATAATTATTTGATCTAAATCTAATTAAATATTTATAAAATGAAATAGATTATTATATTTGATATCTTTCTGAATCAATTTTAAATATAGAAGACTTATAAAAAAAATATAACAGATTTGAAAGGAAATTGATGTGAATTATTATATAAATTTAATTTGTTCTATGTCAAAAAGAATTTGTGATATAATAAAAGTATATAATAATTATACTAGATGATAATATAATTAAAAAATAAAAAAATATAATATTTTTATTTTATATTAAGTATTATATAAATTTATATTAAAAATGAATAATATAATATAATACTAAAAATTAAATAAATATTATAATTATGATATAATTAGTTTAATAATTCATATTAAATTTATTATATTTAAGTTATTTATATATATATAATTAAATCTATTAACTATAATTTAATATTCTTAAGTCTGTATAAAAATATTATAATTTAATAATTTTTAATTTTATATTATACTATTTTTAATTATCATTATATATTTATAGACAAGTTATCTAAAAAAATACACTTCATATTAATAATTACAATAGCAATAGTACCTGATATTACAAAAATATTTTTTAAAAATATCTTTAAACTATATGATCTATCTATAATTAAAATATCAGATAGAAATGCAAAATTTACAAGTTGCTTTTGTAAATTATTATAACTAGATATATTAATTACTTTTATTTATAAACTAATAATCAAATAGAAAAATTTAATAAAACTCTTGAAGAAATATTTAAAAATTTTTATAACTTATCAGTAAAATAAATAAAATAAAAATCTAGCTGCTATAGAATTTATTTATAATAATAATAAAAATATTTTAACTAGTTATACACTTTTTGAATTAGATTATGAACAAATATCTCATATATATATTAATATTTTATTATTTCAGAATAATATTACAGCTCTCTGAATATTATAAAAAATTAGAATATTATAATTAAGACTATCAAAGATTTGCTATTTAAAGTATAAAAAAGATAAAATAAATATGCAAATTAATATAGAAGATATAAAGAGTTTAATATTAAAGATAAAGTTCTTCTTTCTATCTGTAATATAGATAATTCTATAAATAAACAAAAAATAATCAAGAAATTTATACTAAAGTTCATAGATCTCTTTGAAGTTATTATCAAAATCTCTTTTATTACTTATAAACTATAACTATTATATAAGATAAAAATATATCTAATATTTTATATATTATTACTAAAGAAATATAATTCAGATAATAAGTATAACAGATATTAATTATTATTATTCATCATTATTTCTGATAATAAAGAAGAATATGAAGTTAAAAATATTTTTAATAAAAGAGTTTATTATCATAAATCTCAATATCTTGTTAAATAGCTTGACTATTCTCTTTATAATATAATATGAAAATTACTTGAAAACTTGAAAAATATTATAAAGATCTTTGAGAAATTGCATATTTAAATATAATAAGAATATTATACTTTAAGTAGGAGAATATGTAATAATTTTAATTCATTTATCTCTCTTTAGCTTAGATCTTTATTTTGTATTATTTATATAATAGAGTAGCTTTTATATACTTTTTATAAAGATTAATTATTTTAGATATATAAATAATTATTTATATATTTAATATATTAGATTTAATATATTATCACACAAATAATTATTATATGTATCTATATTATTAATTTAGTTAATTAATATTTTTAATTAGATTTCTTTTTAATAATTCTTTTATAATTTACTTATTCTTATTTATTATTATTTATATTATTTATAATTATTAGATTATAATTAGTTGTTTTCTAATTATATATATTTTAAAAGTAGAATTATTATTAGTTTAATTACTTTTTGTATTTATTTCTTTTATTATATACTATCTGTTTTGTAATTTAGATCACTCTTAATAGCTTATCTTTCTAAGTAAATTAAATAATATATATATAAATTATAATGATATAATCTTTAAGATTACTTGATTTAGCTAAATGGATAATTTTTCTGGTGCTAATGGTGCGACCAGTCTAAAGACATCAACATCCAATGCTTTAAAATATAAAGGAATTTTATTTGAATATATAACCATTAGAAGCAAATACATTATCAAATAGCCTCTATAACATCATGTATGTTTTGTTTTCATTTTATTGTAAAAATTATTTGTACATGTACATGTAGTTTCAATGAATAAAATGTTATTAATGTAAAATTCTAATTTTAGCATTATGCATTTTGGTCAAAAAAAATTCCAGTGTCACAATATTTGATGGCGCACACCATAGGTTACGGTAATTTAATAATTACTAAATACGTACGTGTGTGAATTTAATATTTCTAAAACAGCGATATGTGCTATGCTATCACAAAACTTTCTAACGGTTTGTTGGTCGAGTATGATATTACCTGATCTGTACATGTGTAATTTTCGCGATTTCTTGGCATGCTGATACCTGCAATTTCCTATGCAGTCAGTACCTTGCAAAAAGTTTCTGTGATGAATTTCTTAGTTTTCGAAGACATTCATCCTACATACATGTAAATAATTAGTTATGATTTTTTTAAAAGATACTGATTATCTTTTATTGGTTGGTAACAGAATTTCAATGTATCCCTATTACATGTAGTGCATGGAATTTATTAAAAATCTGAAACATGGTCTAATGTTATTGCATGAAAAATATAACAAAATCTCAGCTAATGTGTATGTTAATCTAATTGAAGCAAATTAAGGCATGTATTCAAATGAAGATGACCCACGAAGTACATTCGATAATTCGGTCGAATTCAATAAAATCTATATTTTAAAAAACCTTTGCAAGGTGACTGCATGTATTTATTAAAAGTTTGAGGAGCCACAAATAATTTTGGTGCAAATTCACCACTTTGCCTAGAAATTGATGAGATACTGTATGCACAAATTACAAATTTGACGTCAACGTTAACTTTTAAATTTGCCAGTTAGAGCACGTGATAGTTCAAAAATTTGATTTATTCTTAAAAATAAGCGACGAATGCTAAATAACATGCGTTAAGAATGAAAAAAATTTACATGTATATTTCTTTGCATTAGTTATCTATCTGCACAATACAGTTCGGTGAATGAATCTAAGTTTGAGATATTCTCGGTTAAATAAAAACAAAAATCTAAATATACAATAATGTTTAATCTAATACTGGTCGATTTGTTGTTTCTGCTACTACCATTGTACTAATACATGTATATATATATAACAAATTTTTATAACGCCACAAATTCCATTGGGCTATCAACAGACGAAAGTGAATCCGACGACAGATTGCTGGTATTATTTCTCAGTGCTAGTTCTGAATCATTAGTAGTGGGATGATTAAATTGATTATTAAAAGTGTATTGATGATTGGTAGTATAACTATTTCTGCTATTATTATTATGATTCTTTTTGTATTGTGAGGATGCTCGTTTGGCTCCTTCAGCATCACCACCACTTCGTTTCTCACTTTCACTCTTACGTGGCGACACAGCTACAAATATGTTTTGCGAATCTCCAAATATTGTTGCAGGTTTTTTGGCGATTTCTGCTGTAACTTTTTCGTCGTATTCACGTTCGAACAGAGGTTTTAATGCCACCACGTGTCGGGTGAATCCGTAGATTAGACTGTTGACTAGACCGGCCGAGGCGAATACACATCCGGCGAAAATTAAACTAGCATTTGTTTGATAATTTTAGTTATTACGCTGTTGCAGAAAAAGATCAAATGGCCAGAGATGGCAAGTTAAAAGAAAAAAAGTACTTACTACTGGAATGGCAATGTGATTCCAAAGAAAGCGAGATATCGTTCTAAAAAGGGAAAATCGACATTAAAAACAACGACGAATAAAATTTCAGCCATCTAAAAGGGATAACATCAAATAACATACGAAATGACAGCGGGAACACCAAAACGATATAAGCGGCTGGATAGTAGATCAACTTTTTCCCGGTTCGTTGCAACACAATTTTGGTGGGTGACATTTCAATAGATTCTTGCTGTCGGCGTAACATTATAAACATCAATCCATATAACACTAACATGACCAACGCCAGTATTGTGATGATTCCGTAATGAAATATGATACGATACATGCCATGCTTGGGGCTTATCCAACACCAGGAGCCACCAGCCGAGTCGAAAAATCTATTATCGGGTGTTTGTATGTAAAGTCCAATTACCGATATGAATATGTTAATTGGCCACACCAAACCCATTGTAATCTGCAGAAACCATCGTGGTTCAATTGAGTGCACCACTGCTAGATAAGTGTGCAGACAGATTGCTGTTGCCCAAAATGCTGAATAAAAAAAACGATGAGGATTGAGAATTTATTGAGCAACATTCGGAAGGGGAAGAAAAATCATTAGGTGACCTTTTACCTGACGATACATCCCCAATATTTATGATAATTCCCTGAAGGTCGCAATACATTCCAGGAATAACGCTGCCTTGTGAAATCCAATACAAGCTCATTATAAACCCAACACTCTGTAACCAATCTGAGAACAACATATTCAATACCAATCGGCTAACGGTCAAATTTGGATGTCGTTGTAAAGAAATCCATATTAACATTCCGGTTGTTGCGGTATTACTCAGTGTGCTAAATGAAACAATCGCAAACATTCCCGCTACTTCAGGACTGACCGACATTTTATATCTTTGTTGCTATTATGTATGTGAGAGTTATATGGGTGTATTTCTTTGTAAAGTTTTTTGAAGTTTTTTTTTCCGCTAAGTCGTCAGAAGAGAAATTCGTTCTCCGCAAAAAGGATTGATCGTTATACGAAAATAAGAATACGAGAATTCAATCCTGCATCAAAGAAAGGATAACAAAACTGTTTATTAAAAATGATCACGGTAGTGAGTCGTATTTCTCTATATAGTTTTGAATTCTAGTAAACGTTGAGGAATAACTGAAGCGAGGGAGAAGAATTTTATTAAATTGCGTATTTAGATAATAAATGAATTTTTTTATTGAATCTTTTTTATTAGAATAAATAACAAGGATACAAGCAATTTAGATAAAGTAAAGTAGAGGGGAGAATGTGTGCGTGCAGAGTAGTGGAATGAGATAGGAAAAAAGCACGAACAGAGGTGTGTGGAATGAATCAGTTATGCCGTTTTGATGGTAAACCAAAGTTACATTAGATTAATAAGGAATGTGAGAATTTTGCATATAATATTCACGCAAGTACGCGTGTGTATGTATTCTTTGAATAACAAATTAACTTTTTCCTTAGGAAAGTTATTCTTCTCTTTGACAACAAAAAGAAAATACGACATAAATAATAATATAACAATTATAAATATATCCAAATAAATAACCAATCAAGTACAGGACGTTGCATCTATTCAATGCAATCCATGCGTTGATCTTCAAAAACTTACACGAATCATTAGTCGTCAAAATTAAAAACAACGTTGTGATACTTGCCATATCTTACAACAGTTTGATAAATTCGGTTTTGGTTACAGATTACAGTATTTATATTACCGTGCGTTACATACGGGTTAATCTAGGAAAAAAGTTTAATGATTTGTTTGGATTTTCTAAATGTAAAAAAGGGTAAATCTAATCAACATCTATTATTGTATTAGATCAAAAATGACATTCATGAATGAGAAAGAGGAATAGAAATAGTATTGTGTGAATTCAATATTATAGTAAATACAATACATGTATTGATATATCATACCCAGGTTTCCTATTATTGGTCATCATTCAGCAGCCAATAAGACTACGCAAATTTTTTCGAACAGCCCGGGATCGACAAAACCTGGCTGAAATTAATAAATGCCATTAATGTAATGTTAGATTTATTTTAGCGTCATTTCTACGCTGTACGAACGGGGCGTAAATTAACAAATACCGATATCGTACATGTACGTGCATACGCGTACATTTTATCATTGAAACGTATATATGTAGCCCCCATTATAAAAAATGTACACGATATTTAGCCAGGCGTAAACAAATTACATGTATGTCTTTTCTGTCTTTAATTTAAATGGCACAGCAATAAATCACAATACCACATGTTAAATATTCAAAAAAAGCTCAAAATAAATAGCAAAACACGACATAATTGACGGCCGATTTCAGGATTTGTTAATGTGTACTACTAAAAGAGAAACTAAGTTTAAATTTTTAATAAAAGGAATCCCATAACTGCGTTTCTATAAAAAGTCGTCGATTACCAATAAACTTTTTGAAAGAACTCTTTAGAACCAATGATACTGCTCGATTTGGTTTCCACAAAGTTTGTCATAAAAAACCTATCGATGTTTCAGCTATTTTTAACGTGTATTTTCTCTGTTAATGTCATTATCGTTGCTAACCATATTTAGTGCGAGCAATTTGTTATTGATAATTTTGATACTACCTGTTAACCTTTATTGCAAAAAGATCCTCCCCAACGTCATCTTTCCAGGCTTTTGTGCTTTGTGTAGGTGGGTTGTTCAAGTGCTTCTATCTGAAAGGCATGTGTGTCTAATACGCCTTTATTAATGAGAATCCATTCGTGCTAAAGGTTACTCAAGTTCCGAAGAAATGCTTTTATTTTTTGGTTGGTCCTCAGATAGATGAATTCCGTCGTAGTTTTAGATTAGATTTTTATAATTTAAATTATGATAAAAACTTTTTTTGCGATCCTTGTCATTGAAAATTACCTTATACGAATCTCTTTTCAGTATATCGAACTCTGCAGTAATCTTCAAGCAAGCTGCCGATTCAATAAACAAAAGAACCGGAAGATGAATTATGTATGTGAACTTTATTTAGCAACCTAAACTGAGAAGAACTATCATTTATTGAAAGCTTCCAGTTTATGCACGTTAGATTTTCAGTTATTCCGATTTTGCAGAGCTTGCATAAAAAGTTTACATTGGTTGTATTCATTAATAAAACTGCTCAAACAATATAATAAATATATATTCCTCTTAAGAAGTATATGTTTACATAACGGTTACATAAATGCGGTGATAAATTCTTTAATGACAACTACGATAATGATTTAAAATTTTGTTCTATATGATAACAATAACTAAAAATAAATTGGTGTTCAGATGAGAAAAAATGTGTAATAATTAGATTACGATGCCTTTACGAATGGGATTTTAACAAGATAGTTTATTGCTTGGAGAAAAATTTGTACGCAAGTTTATCCTGTTCTTTTCTTTCCAAAGGTCCGAAAATCATTCATTATATACATTTTTTTAGGTTTTCTATAATTCTTATTACATTGTTAGAGCGCAGCAATTAAAAATAAAATGAAATGAAATGAAAGGTCAACCTATTATGTCGAAAAATTGATAATTACGAGATTTGAAAAACAGCATCATCTTAAAATGATCAACAATGTTTATGGCACACAGAATCCCTAAATTTTAATAAAAAATTGGTCCACTAAAATTCTGTAATTCTCATTTGATCACTTTTGTTTTTACTAACTTCAACTGATATTTTTGAGAGGATTTACATATTAACTTTAAATAAAATTTATATGATTAGAACCAGCAAAACCTGCTCTATTTAATGGTATATTTGTATTTTCTAGATTTCTTTTCATTAACGAGCTATAGATCAATATGTTCAGGTATATATTCTACATGATCATTTGATATTTCAGATCTAATCAGAACATGGTGTTGACCTTAATTTTTTATGCTTTCATACATTACCACTATAACTTTAGGTGTAGTAATATTTTACTTATTTCGCTTATTGTTTTTTGTCTTTGCATTGATCAACAATTTCACCATGTTAAAATCTGTAAGTTCTGATCTTTTATAGGCATTATTCAAAAAATGAATCTTTAAAAAGAGCAAAAAAATATGTTTTCTGAAAGCAGAAATCAAGATGAACCTCATAAAAAGAATTTGGGTAGATGGTTGCGCAGATAGGTAAAAAATAAAAAAAGTATAATAAAATTGGGTGTATGGATGTTGCTACAATCTATTGATTTCTCGTCGCCGATCTTGTCCTGGACACATTAGTCAGGCCGGTGTATAACGATAACAATAACGATAGCGACAACGATTTCTTTCAACCAATTTACGCATTTTATCCAGTGAATTCAAAAATTGAATCATTGCAAATAAATGTTGCATTGTATTGATAATTACTACTGCGAAAACTACTTTAAATATCACATGCGAATTTATGACAATAAATTTGTCTAGCGGAATGATATCGACAATCCAATTAAAAGAATGCAACAAATTTAATAAATATGAGCATAAAATATTCGAATGGATCCTTTTTAAAAGATTTACCAACATTGAATATCTCACAAAAGTAGATTTTGGGTAAATTTGCATGTATAAAGCAATCTAATTTGATGGACCAGTTGCATTAGTGAAATAAGTTTAAACGAGATGGAGTAATAAAGTTGTGTTGAAATCAACTAGGTAAAAATGAACCTTTTCTAAAGTGAGAGTTTACTTTAGCTTTCTGATACAATCAAATTTTCATAAATTCCAACTTCTCTTAAATACAGTTAAGTAACTAAAAATCCAACTACGAATGAATGCTCAATAGTAATGAATTATGCGATCTCCCAACGCTAAATATATTACATGTAATTACAACCACTAAAAATTGACTTGGAGTCAAAATATATATGGGATTATCTTAAAATTCACGAAGAAAAGTTTGTACATAGTGACTTTCATCCAGGAACCATATTAAGTTACGAAAATACTCTAAAATTGCAGATTTTGTTTGGACTTAGTATTCTAAAAGTATAGAAAAACCTAAGCAAGAAGTCTATGGCGTACTTCCTTATATGAGTCCAGAAGTGCTAAATGGAAAGCTATAAAACTAATGCTGTAGATATCTTATAGCATTGGAAAAGTTGTGCACGAGATCGTAACAGGTGAACGACCATTTGGTGAACGAAGCCATCTCGATTAGATATTTATAAAGGAATACGGCCTACGATACCAGATAATGATTTAAAATAGTTCATATCTATTAATGAAGTTGTAGGAATCCCATTCCAGTATATGAAGACAATAATGATTGGGAACTGAGTACTTTCTATTTTCAGTACTATGATTCTTTAGAATATCCTAAAATATAAAGAGCGAGTTATTCAAATTAAACTAAACTATATCTTATCTTTATTCCTAAGTCGTAGAATTAGTTAATTCGTATGCATATATGTGCTCTCACATTTTTATATATTAATATATAATGTACAAGCGTAAATTCAATAGCACATAATCATCAATAATTCTTTTTTTAGATTGTCGGTGTTTTTTTATCTACGTTAGGACAATTCAACTTGTAAATTCGTTTGGAGCAGTTCCTATTTCTTTGAAATAATAAACTAAACATCCATCGCAGTATTCATTATAATTTTGACACCAATAACAAATTATATGTACACGTATATCGATGGCTATACAATCACAGTAGTGATTCAAACCTCTATTGAACATGCGCATCTACTAATTTATAATCGCTGATTGGCTGACTACATCCAGAAAAGCAAAAATTTTTTTCGGTCATCCGGCAAATAAATTCGGCAAAATAATACACAAAAAGTTTAAAGACGGAAAACGTATGCTTAAACTTAGCTTGGAGCATTAATTAAAAATGTCGGGAGACAATTTTGCTAGTAAATAATATTTTTATCATATCTGATCCAATCAGAACTTCGATAACATCTTTGAACTTTGTAACCGCTTAATACTTAACAGGTTAGAATCATTACCTATACGAAATTTTTACATTTTGCAAAATATTTAATGCATGCATAATCAAGAAAAATTAGATTTTAAAAAACCGGATGATTAAATTTAAAATTCGGTAACTTTGGGACACGATATCTCGAATTTAATGTCCTAATCTAGACGAATCGAATAATAATAAAAATCTTCGTCAAAACTGAAAGAATCCTTATAGAATAGGAGAAATAGGCTTGCAAAAAGATTATTGCGAGTATCTGTTAATAATTAAAGTGATCTCGAAAAATGTTTGTCGTTATTACATTAACAATGATACTTGGATTGTGAATAATCGCGGGAGTTATTGTAGGTCGCGGGTAATTTCAGTGGTCAGAATAATCGTGAATTAACTAGACAATGTCCAGTCAAATAGTTCAGGTCCAAAGAATTGTAGTACAGATACATGCATATTTTTCTGACTTCATTATGATCAAAAATTATTTCAAATCAGATCCAATATATTGGACCAACTTAAGTTGGGCCAGTCAAATGGATCAGGTCAATGAAGTGACATCACTGTTTACGATATCACGACAGCTGATATGCCCGACGAACGAAATTCTCAACATTCGAAAATCTTAAAATCCCGAAAATTCAAGTTCCAAACATTTCGAAAATTTTACTTTCAAACATTCTAAAATCCCGAAACATATATATTTTCAAGAAATATAATATGGGTAATAAAATGTCAATATAATAAAATCTTTTTATTACATCTATCTCCTGAACCAATAGCTAACCTTTTTCGAAGATATGAGTTTTCTGATTTGAGCATCGGAATGCTAGATTTTCGAAATGTTGGGTTTTGGGATAATGGTGTGTCAGGATTGAGGTCGTCAGGATGTGCACAGCACCCTTATTTTCTGTAGATGCACACCCTCCTTAAATGCATACTCTGTCATTTTTTATAGAGAATCATTTGGAGAGGTTTAACTGTAAAGATGTAGATCACTAGGTGCACCCCCTTGGGAGCAGTCATGAGCATGCATTTAAAGAGGCTGCGCATTTATAGAAAGTAAACAATTAATGATATTGTAAGCTTGGAACTGATACCATGCGCTTTGCATGGATTTATAGAGGGTACATTTAGAAAGGTTTATCAGTACAGGTATTGATGTTCAATAAAGTTTCATTTGTGTACATGTATGTAATGGGCACAAATTTTGATTGAACACATTATTTAAGAATTTACTGTGCATTATGTTTCCAGATAAATGGTTTTGTTTTTTTCTCGTGCGATATCGAATGGACCCTAAAGTTTAATCATTATAACTTCGTTTATAAATTTAAATACGAAATAAATATTGTTAATTTACAATTTATTTTAAATTAAAAAGATTGTTTGCCCTTCTTTAATTAATAAATTATTCACAATGACAAATCTAAATTGTATAAACTATAATCTTAGCAAAGAAAATGATAGATATTATTTTCGTATACGCCCGCATTGTAATCAAATTCAGAAATCAATTTTTTGGTGTCTAGTCTGTTCTTTTGATTTTAAAAGAGGCACATTTGATGAATGCATCGATAAACATCTAACCGGAAATCAAAAAATAGGATCAAATTGTACAAAAATAAAGCTTGGGTTACGTATTCTCAATTTGTCGAGGACGATTTTTCGGACGATGGCAGCGATGACGATTATCAAGAAGATATATACGAGCTCGACTACGATTTTGATAATGATGCAAGTCAATATGTAATCTTCGAGAAAAAGCTTGGTACCTTATGTACTGCAAAGTTTGCACGAGACCAAATAAAATTTACGATTGGTGTATAGGTTGTAATAATAGAAGAAGATTAAAGAATAACTTCTCCAAATGGAATGGCGTGACGATAATATCAACGATTTATTCGAGAAACTCAAAGGAACCATAGCAATTATATAGAATGGGTAGAATTTGATTCAATTACCAATATAGCATATTTAGCCGAAGGCGGATTTGGTACAGTATATACGGCAAGGTTAAATGAAGAAATGAAAAAAAAATACCATAGGCTCGTTGCGTTTTCGTGCAGGAAATAAAATAGCATTAAAATCTTTGAAAAATTCTCAATTCATGATAAAAGAATTTTTAAATGAGGTAACTTAAAAATATTTTTGTTGACATATAACGACACAGATTTATGATTGCATTTTCATAAGCAATCTATAAATTACAGAGAAATACTTCCTATATGTACATATATTAATTTTAATTTGATTCTTGTCGACATAGCCTCAAAATTACCAAAGATGCTTTGGTAATTACATGCTCCCACATCTTAACATATTCGGGATTACTTACGATCCTAATAACATCGAATACATGATGATTCTTAAATTCGCGGAAGGAGGAGATTTACGTTCTATTCTACGTCGAAATAGTAACAAGATTTCATGGAAAAATCGAATCAAAATACTTTACGGCATAGCAGATCAGTTATTTATCATCCACAATAGGGACATTATCCACCGAGATTTACACGCGGGAAATATTCTTTTCGCCGAAAAAAACGAACATGATTTCTATAGTGGGATTTATATCGCTGATCTAGGACTTGCCAGACCTTGTGATCGACCGCATACAACGGTCAAAGGTACTTACGGAGTAATACAATACACTGCACCCGAGATTTTCCGAGGTCAACCACGTTCAAAGGCTTCCGATATCTATAGCATAGGCATTCTGATGTGGGAGTTGAGTGCACCTGGTAAAGTTCCTTTTCGTAGAAGTTTGTTTAATCAGGATGCACTCCTTCAATGTGCAATTTGTGATGATGAACGGCCAGAAATTCTTAAAGGCACTCCAGAACCATGGGTTGAATTGATGGAGAGATGTTGGCAAGGCAATCCCAATGATCGCCCTACGACAAGGGAATTATTCGGGACCACCGAAAGTTGGTATTTCCTCAAAGAAGACGTCACAGAATTTAAGGACGCTGATGAGGGACAATCCGCGTTATTATACGCGGCAAATTTCCAATATAACGCACCACCAGAACATACGCAAGAATATCAAGATTTTCAAAATGAATGTAGTACATCGATTAAATATATTCAAGAACATCAATTGCCAATGATTAGAGAACAAATGAAAAATCAACTTAGTCAATATGATTCAAATCAAGATGACTGTGCAATTAGTGATGGATAACTAATATTTATGAATAAATAATATTTCTCTAAATCATCCCAGATCAGTCATGGACATGCATTTAGAGAGGATGTACAGTACATTTATAAAAAGCAAAACAATTAAAGATCTTATATTCTTGTCCTTAATCATGACATGCATTTAGAGAGATTTATCTGTACCATTTCACATATTTTGTGGAATATAAGCAATATTCCTGTATTAATTTTTAAAAGAAAATGTGAGAATGTTATAAATTCATAATTAGGTTATCATCGTTGTTTAAAAAAATAAATTTAACGATATAATACTGTTACACCTATCCAGTCTATTGGATTTCAAAGTTGGGCAGGCTTAGCAGGTTTGTGGAATGATTAGACTGTGATTTGTTGGTCTTGGAGGGCTTCTTTATAATGGACTAAAGGTTTCTGTGCCAGTAACTACAGTTACTGTGGATGGCAAAGATCAATTTATTGATTATAATGATTGAATTGGGAGAGAGGGGAGGAGATTACACAACTAATAACAATGAATTCTTTAACTATAGATTATTTTAAGGGTTACGGTTGTCACACGACGAATGATCGAATAGTTCTCTTTACAGCTAGGCTATTTTTGTAAAAGAATTTAACGCAGCAATGGCTTTCTTCCGGTAAAAGCGATAAAAACCAGAAGTAGACATGAAAAGCGGAAATTATTGAAATTCACGAGGAGATGAAATTACAAAAAAAAGAATGTCATTTTGATTGAATAAAAAAATAAATGTGCGTACCGGGATTGATATTAATTTTGAAGTAAGATTCGACTGGTGTAAATTGCATTTTGATGGATTTGTTGTTTTTTGTTTATTTTCGTAGGGTTACTTCCTTGTAATTTCATTTTTCTTTTCAAATTCAATTAATTCTATTTTCTTTGCAAATTCAATTAATTCTATTCTAACACACTCTTTGATTACTTGATTTGATTTAGAATATACTAAAGAGCTGTAGTACTGAAAATCCAAAGTGTTCAGTTTCCAATAAGCTTCATTATCAAAGCAGTTGGAGTAAATAAAGTTCCTCGGCAGTTGGTCGTCTTCTGGAATAGGATCCCAACATTTTCAATAATAAATTTACACCATCCGGAGTCGTATTTCGATCATCAAATGGTCGTTCTCATACGCAACCATTCCGAAGCTATAAATATCTGCAGCTTTTAGTGTATGGTTTTTCACTTAATACCTCTGAACTCATACGAACTTTGAGAGTTATCATTAATAAATTTCCAGGATGAAAGCCACGGTGAATTTTTTTTTAAATATTCGATGATATTATCTAAATGATTAATCTTTGATTCCAAGTAATATTTGCGAAGGTCACATCTCTCGCATCAGTCACCACTATCAATATTCATTTTTAACGAAATTTTTAGCTATCTAAGGAGTAATATCATTGCCGCATTTTAGAGCCGACCGAATCTATTCTTGAAAAATTTGATTGTATCAGAAAGTAAAAATTCAACTTTCACTTTAGAAATGTTCATTTTATCTCTTTCGTAAACTCCTGAGTAAGTTGCCTTGAATTGTTTAAATGATTTCAACACGACTTCTGATTTCCATTAATTTATTTTCTTTGTGATTCCATTGTCTATATCTATTTAATTCTCCAGTTAACCAGGTTGCTTTATGAATTGCCTTTTGCAAGATATTCCACATTGGCAAATCTTTTAAAAGGAATCCATTCATCTTCTTTATTAAAATTTGTTGCAGTCTTTTATTAGATTCTCGATATCTTTATCTCCCCTAGATCTTTCATCGTTATAAATTCGTTTGTGATATTTGAAACACCCAAGCAGTATCTATTCCTTTGACATTTACATATACTACAATCATGCGATTCCATCACTAGCGAATAATCATTTGTAACTGGGTTCGAGTTATTCCATAAATAATATCGTCGCCATCTTCACAATAGCATTTAAGAGTGGTTTGAATCTATTTTATTGTAACAGAAAACAGAAAGCAACTTTCTCTTTAAAAAATGTTTATTTTTTACTCGTCTATAAACTCTTGAGTTGTTTTGACTTTGTGGAATGCTTTCAACATAATTGTTCTTTCTCTCTCTCGTACAAATTTATTTTCTGCATGATCCCATTTGTGATAAGGTCCATCAAACCAGGTTGCTTTATAAATTGACCCAAAACCTCCTTTTTGCAAGACATTCAACATTGGTAGATCTTTCAAAGGAATTCATTTGAAATATATTTGGATATTTGTATTCTTTTATTAGAAACTTTAAGTTGAATTATTTGTATATTGTTTGTAAAACCGACTCACCGTCCAATTATGCGTAACCTTGCTCCATAGCCCTCATATATCGTTTGTTAGCGGTTCGATTTTTACCATTTTTCCACACCGAAATTGGTTTGAAAACCACAAACCCATTGCTATATTCACTGAATTAATGGCCACTTTTCGCTATCACATTCAAAATCTCTGCAATTTGACCATAAGCCTCAAGCTTCTTGTACAATTTACGTTAGTAATATTCACTTATTTTTAATTCACAAGTGGCTACAATAGAATTCAGATTCAAAGATAAACGACGTAAACTTTTTAAAGAATCATTCAGCTTAGGAAACTCTGGTGCTGTATTGTTATCGGGAAGTTTCACTAAGGATCTACACAACTGGAAGAGACTAACACTACACTACTAAAGATATATCGAATTATTATACTGTATAATCGATTCCTTTAAAAGTTCTAGAGGCTGTGACAATATCTGCGGATATTGTCTGTAAAAAGTTTAACTAATAATAAAAGTAAAATAATTGTTGTCACCAATACTAATAATAATATTAAAAAAAACTATTATTTAAAATGAATAATAGTTTTGGCTTCCAAAGATTAATGCAATAATGCAATATTGTAAGCTAACTTCAATATAATCGCTTAGAAAATACAAAATGACTATTAACTAACTAGAATTAAAGTCAATTTTTAGGTTAAGGTATAAAACCACTTGTGCCCAAGTTCGAAGCTACTGGGTATAATCAAAGGAATAAAGGTAATTCAATTTTAATTAACTGTTCCAAAATGTCTCTTATTTCTTTAAAAGAGCATATCTAATGGATTTAATAGTAACATTGTTAGATTTTTGTTAAAGAATATTGGTGGCTGATAATAGTTAAACACAATAATAATTTGGACATAGGGCTAAAGAGGATATTATTACCAATAATAATGAAACTTTTTAAGGACATGGATAGCAAAATAATGGTATTATCCATTTTTGTATTATTTATGTTTTTAGTTTCGATCATAAACACGCTAACTAATGTAATTATATTTAAGGGCGTCAAATAGAAAATGTGAGATAATCATAACTTAAAAGATCCTTGAGCATATTCACATGCTTAAATTTATATATTTCTTTGAAAATTACTTCCAAACAACTTTGCGTCTATTCTAATATCCTTATGACGCAAGTATGTTACATTTTCTTGCTAAATTGAATAGAACTTGATACCTTTTCTTCTTTTTAATTGTTTTGTTTTAAGTATTATAACATTTCAAGTTTTTTAAAGAATCTTCTATCGAAATAACTAACTTATGTTACATACGAATTACAATAACAGTAAATGATTATCTGAAATTTTTTCAATCATTTTAATATTTTAGACTATTTGCGAAAATATAAGATATGGATACAGAAGAAAAAATTAGCAAAATGACAAACATTCCATTCTTAATGATGTAATTACTGACTTTGAGTATATTCCTAATGATGACATAGAAAATATTGAGAGTATGAAATTAACAAATGAAAGTCTAAATCGGATACAGGAAGTAACTACCAACAATACATTGAACTTTGATGAATCCCTTTCTTTTCAATGAAATCAGATTTGATAATATACGGGCTATAGCAGTATAATTTTGTTAAATGATATAGATGATGACGATATTGAAATAAATAGTGCTGATACATTAGTATCATCAGAGTTCAATTCGGAATTAAATTACATTGAAAACTTAGCATTAGAAAAAAGTACCAGCCAGATGCTGACATCTTGTCCAATTGTAGATAGCATTAATAGCTATATTCAGTACTGTTCAAATTCACCAAGACAAAAATCACTCATTCAACTCGTCGGTGCATGGAAAATCGATGAAATCAGGCTCAGAACTGTCAATGATAGGTGTCTGTCAGTCTCACTTTAATTTCAATCGAACCAAATTACATCATCCAAATACTACACGAACAATCAAAAAGAGCTGGATTTTTTACTGACGTTACCTATTTTGTGATAAATCCAAATATTTATAAGTCTAAATAAGATATGTATACAATATTCAAAGCATATTTTTGGAAAAATATGCAAATTCCATATGTTAAGCTGTCCTATATTTGAACAACAATGGAATCAAAATTCTTAATAATTCAGAAGCTGAATATAGAACAAAAATATTTTATTTCTGAAATAGTTGCTAACCTCGAAAAAGTATTGGAAGTTGTAACATGATATATATATAAAACAAAGTATAATAAATAAAGAAAAACTCAAAAGTTCAACATTATTAGCAAAATATCAAAAAAGATTTTCACGATATTTATCAAATTTTTTAATGGATTCATAAATATATTACAATGAAAAAAATATAACAATAACAAAAAAAGAAATCAAAAAGATTCTTTAATACAAATTAAATAACTAAGATTTTAGATTTTTTATCTTAATAATCTTAAATATAAATTTCCAGAAATAAGTATATGGCTTATCTATAAGTTCACTTTATAAAAAACTGAAATTATTTTATTATATTTTAAATATAACTAATATAGTATTTTGTACTTAATAATATAAAAGTTTTCTAAAAAAAATTTTATTTATATAAAAAAATTTTTTGTTACATACTTACATTTGAAAATATTCAAAATATTATATAAAGTATAATATATATTATATTAAAAATATAATATATTTATCAAATAATTTTTAATTAATAAGAAATCTATTTTTCTTTTCTTTATCTAATTAAT